AGTCCAGCAGGAGCTGGTTCCTGATTTTGTGCGAGGGGTCACCTTTGTCCATTGAATCCCTAGAGGACGAAAAAACAGAGCCAGCAATCAGTTCCTCCGGGATGGAAATGTCGAGGTTGGCTATGCGACAGTTGAAATCCTCAGCTAAGAACATTGGAACTCCGCGGTAGGAGTCCTGACATGAAGTGATGACTGGTTGGAGTGACTCAAGAGCAGCGAATATATTGGCTTCGTTCGGGAAATATATAAAACCAATGATGATATGGCCTGTAGGTAGCTCCAGACGAGTGAATATCCACCATTTCGATGAGGATAATAGAGTGCATTTGACGGGCTTCTTCACCAGGACGATAAGCCCGCCACAACCTCTACCCATACCTGTTTCTCTTGATGCTTCCACCCAAAAGGATTCGTAGTTGTCAGTCCAAGAGACTAGTCTAAAGGGGGAGGGAGGGGGGTAGCGTAGCCACGTTTCACTGAAGCCAATGAAGACAGGTGGTAATTCTGTTATTTGCAGACTGTTAATTCCAGAAGATGAACTCATGGCTAGCATGGTCATTGTAGGCTGATTTTTTGGATTTGCTGGGGCACCTGACCCCCGTTGGTCTCTGTTGGAGTGGTTGAAAACCTCTTTTTCTACAAGTTTACTCTCCTTGTGGTCCCAGGTTATCACTGAGTTTTCTAGAATGATTCTATTCCCTCTTATCCTCATCTGTCTACCCTTAGCCCTTTCCTCTTTCTTTACTTTACCGTAAAGACATGAGGTCTACCGGTAGGTATACCGGTAACCGTTGGCACCTTTGCCACGGTCGCCATCTTTTTTTTGTATGCGTCATCGAGTGCAAAAAAATATGTGTTTTCACCGCTAGGCACGAGAAATATTCGTGCTCCATTCAGAGACGGACTGCGACCTGCCTATCGACCTGATGTGCCTAAAGACCATAATCATAGCACTCGGATCATCTCAAAAAATCATGTGCTCGACAATGACCGATATCAATAAATCCGTGCTTGAGTTTGCTTTATCATAAACACATCAGGTATACTGGTAACCGTTGGCACCTCTGCCACGGTGGCCATATTTTTTTTTGCATGCGTCACTTAGTGTAAAAAATATGTATTTTCACCTCCAGGCACGAGAAATATTCGTGCTCCATTCGCAGACGGACTGCGACCTGCCTATCGACCTGATGTACGTGAAGACCATAGTCATAACGCTTGGATTGACTCAAAAAATCATGTGCTCCATAATGAGCGAGGTCAATAAATCCGTGCTTGAGTTTGCTTTATCATAAAGAAATCAGGTATACCGGTGACAGTTGACACCTTCGCCATGGTCGCCATCTTTTTTTTTTGCATGCATCATTTAGTGTAAAATAATATGTTTTCACCTCCAGGCACGAGAAATATTTATGCTCCATTCGGAGACGGACTGCGACGTGCCTATCGACCTGATGTACCTAAAAACAATAATTATATCACTTGGATCGATTCAAAAAATCGTGTGCTCCAAAATGAGCGGGGTGAATAAATCCCTGCCTGAAATTACTTTGTCGTGAAGAGATCAGGAATACCGGTAACAGTCGATACCTTTGCAACGGTCACCACCTTTTTTTTGCATGCGTCGTTGTGTGCAAAAAATGTGCTTTTACGTCCAGGCCCTAGAAATATTCGTGTAAGGGAAAACGTATTTACATTAAGATGGAGAATGAAGTTCCAGCTGATGATGTCGGCGATTCTCTTAGGAATTGCTTTTAAGAAGGAATGAAGAGTAATGCTATCTATTTCTGAAATTCCGGAGCTCGCCATCGATCCATTATTGATTTCCGATGATTTCAAAAACGATGAGGAACCAGGGGAATTAGAGGGCTGGAGCAGAAAACATTTATTTGGAGAAGAAAATTTCCAAGAAAGTGTCTTAAACATTCCTCGAAATATCTCAAAAGAAAATATCGAAAGAAGAATTTTACTGAGATTCGCAACCATCAGTTGAGTATTCCAGAAGATCTAAACAGAAATTATGGAACTCGTGAGGCCATCAGAAATTCATCATGGAACTTAAACATAATTGGTCAAAATGGAACCATCCCGAGCTCCACCACCTCGCAGAATATTGAAAAATTTGATAAAACTGAAGGGTAATAGTTGAAGAATAAATTTCAATGGAACAGGGCAGTGA